ACAAAAACATTATTTTATAGCAATGGAAGAAGGCAGCCCTGCCTAGCAAATAAACTTATTTTAAGTCTAACTTCATGTCTGGGAATGTGAAGTATATTGAGAGTATATAACCTGTGTGTACTTTGAAACAGAATGAGGAATTCAAAATTAAGAAGGAGGGAGGTCTTGTAGATGGAACCATCTTCTAGAGGCTTATGAGGACTTTGTTTAGGCTTTTAAAAAGAGAAGTTACTCACTTTGTGCATTAACTATGGTTGTTCAGGAAGTGTGTCCATGTGGGTGCTCCATTGTTGGGTGTCAGGCTCGTCCCAGTGCCACAGATCGGAGACTTTTACACCAGTGTCTAGTTGGGCTGTGCATGCACAAGAGGAGTGTGGTGTTCCCACCTTTGAAGTTAGCTCACTCAATCCTACTCTTCTGTTTTTTCTTTGATGCCCTCCTAGCAAGTTGTTATTGCCCAAAGAAGCAGGGAGGAAGGCGGGCAGTGGCGCACCCACGGGAACACACATCTCGAAGAACCATCATTACAGCATAGAGTAACTTCTCTTTCTTCTTCCAGGGATGTCCCCGTGGGTGCTCCACTGTTGATGACTATGTAGCAGTGTCCAGTTAGATGGTAGGTCGGCTTAGTCTAGTTACAGGCTATGGAGAGTACCGCCATAGCTACTGCGGTGTCCATGGTCGAGCATGGTGGAATTGCATAGTGCTTCATGAATGCGTGGTTAAACGACCATGCATTTCATGGAGCGACACTCCACCAGAGCGATGGCAATGTCAACAGCATTCCTCAGGGGAATGAGCTTTGGGAGTCATTGCTAGTGCTTTAATCTGGACTGAGTATCAGGTGGTAATACAGGATGTTATCAGTTTTGGTATGCTCTGAGAAGAAAGTGGTTTTCCCTTGGACCTTTTGGCTATAAATATGAGCAGTCTCTGTGACAGTCGAAAAGACTGCGTCCTGTCTAAGTAGAAGAAATGGCCCTACTCACTTCCAGCGTACTCAATATGGCTTTGTCCCTGAAGCGATGCGGTTTTGGGTAGAAAGTGGGAAGGACTATGGGTTCATTGATATAAAATTCAGAACAAACTTTGGGTTAGAAGGAGGGGTGGAGGAGGAGGGCAGGTCACAGGATAACTATGTTTGTGAAAGGCCATGTATGGAGATGAAGACATGAAAGCCACCACCAATTTACTAACCCTCCTTGCAGATGCAATTGCCAACAGGAACACCGTTTTCATGGTGAGAAAGGTAAGTGATGAAGTTGCCATTGACTCAAAGGGTGGTTTTGTGCGTGAGTGGAGAACCAGCTCTAAATTCCACGTGGAAGGTTCGAGTGGCCCTGGTGGGTGAAGGTTCTGCAGGCCCTTCCAAAACCTCTTAGAGATGAGATGGGCAAATAGGGAGAATCGAGTGGCCGTGGTGGGTGAAAGGCCGTGATCACAGCTAGGTGCACTTAGAGTGAGGAGACAAATTTTATTGTTTCAGTTGCAAGATGTATTACAGGATAAAATGGAGCAGAGCTGTAGATGGGTAGACTCCCTTCTGGGTGCACCATAAAAATTGTTGCCATTTGTACAGGTAAGTATTACACGTGTAGTTTGTCTTTTGCTGTACAGTACAACAGTTCTTACTTGTTGCAAGCACTGTTGCTCAGCTCCCGAGAACCAGATAGGTATGCCATCAGAGTCAGTGTTTGCAGCTGAGGATGAAGGATCACGCTCCCTTGCTCTGGGAGAGGAGGTCTGGGCAGGTTGGAAGCAGGCAAGGAGGACATAGAGACAGTTGATAAAGACATTGCCACCATGTCTGTCGAGGCCAAGCTGGGGCCATTAGAATTACACTGGCCCCATCTGTCTGTAACTTACAGAGAACTCTGGGGATCAGAGGGATAGGAGGAAAGGCATATAGCAGATGAGTATCCCATGGGAAAAGCATTGAGTCTTCCAATGAATTGTGCCCTATGCCCGTTCTCAAACAGTATTGGAGTCATTTGGAATTCTGGCTGGTTGCAAAGAGGTATATTTGCAGTTGATCCCAATGTTGGAATAGATCGTGGGTGACCTGATTGTGCAGTTCCCATTTGCGCTCGGTGCCAAAGTGGCGGATGAGGGTATTAGCTATGGTATTCTTGTCCCCAGGTACGTAAGTTGCCATGATGGTTATATTGTGGCAGATATACCAATTCCAAAGCCGAATCGCCTCTGCACATAGGGAAGGAGATCTGGCACCCCCTTGGTGGTTGATGTAGAACATCATGGTCATACTGTCAGTGAGGATACACAACGAGGATCCCTGAATGTGTGTAAGGAAGTGTTTGAAGGTATTGTGAACTGCTCAAAGCTCAAGCGGATTGATGTGGAGCCTGGACTCACTGCTGGACCACTTTCCTTGGGCATATTGTTGCTGGAAGTGGGCACTCCAACCTAGCAGTGGTGCCCAATAATGATAGGGAGACCAGAGGTTATGATGCTGAGGATAGTGGTGCCGGTCAAGGTGCCATAGAGGGAAGTGGGTGAGGTACTGATATTGTCATAGACTGTGTGCTCTGTATGATGCAGGTGCTCTCTCTGGGGATGAGTGTTGTGAGGAGAACACGCTCCTTATATCCCCCGGTAGGCACTGAGTTGCGATAAAGTAGGTGAGCGTAGCGAGGGCAGAGAGCCACTCATTGATGGGGGGAGTGCGAGTGATGCTGTGCCAAGGACTTACTCGGGGACCTGGTTCTTGGTCTCCTGTCAATCATTGATGGTGTGTGTGTTTTGCCGCACATTGGAGAATGGTGGCAGCTTAATGGTTTATGCCTCGGTGCCAAATCTGCCAGTGCCAGCGGTGGAGGCATTGGTGTCATTGGAACCCCGTGAGATCTGGGGTCATTCTGCGCTGAGAGAGGAGGGTTGGAGTTTGCTCACAGGGTGATGGGGGATAGAGCCAGTGCTAGCAGTGCCTTTGTTAATTCAGGACCCTTAGTTAGTAAGTGCCCTTTTAAGTAGCTGAGGACCTGGCTTCACAGGCTGTTTAGCATGAGTTTTTGATCCTGTTAGTGAGGAGGATCCTGCTTTTTGAATGCCTGAGGTGCCTGGTTCATTTCCCTTGCTAATTTGTGATGGGAGAGAGCAGGCTGGGGAGGGCTTCGTTTTTTAATGCGTTTTATGCCGTAAGGGTCTTGAGAGATTCCCAAGGGGACATCGCGTCCAAGCCTTTATTGCCCCCGTTATGCAGATGGGGGTCTAGGGCTTTCTCAAAGGACAGCATGCATATTCTAAGCTCTCTCTCCTTGTAAGCTCGCTCAGACTGTGACAATGAACGCATTTTTGTGAAACATGCATCCAACCCCAGGCAGCATATGCATTTGTTGTGGCCATCAGAGGCTAGCACAGAGTCTCAGCATTTTTGGAACCCCAGGAGATTTAGTTTTTGAAGCTGGAACTGGGCATTTCATCAGGTGGCGAACTATGCTGCTTGCTGCTGTGGCTCTTTTTTATTAGTAAAAGCTCCTAAAAAGGCGGTAAACCGTCTAACTATAAACAAGCTGAAGTAAGCTGTATTTGTTTTGTTTTTTAAACTATCTACTGTTTAACAAAAGAAAAAATTAACATGAACAAGTAAGTTTACAATATCTATCTAATTTTGTTTCTTTTGCTTCACAGAAGTGAAACAAGGAGGAGAGAGGTTGGCGCTCCAGCCATAGCTGAGGGTAGCAAAGAAGAACTGAGAGGAGTCAGGCTGCACGTGCTAACTTCAAAGGCAGGAACACGGTGAGCCTCTCGTGCATGTGCAATCCGGTTGGACACTGCTATAAATGTCTCCAATCAGTGGCGCCGGAAACAAGCCGGACACCCAACAGTAGAGCACCCATGGGAACTTCACTCGAAGAAGAATGATTATTAAACACGTATCTCTTTGGTACATGCCAAAGGCAAAAACATTTCTCAAAGTTTCTTTCTGGGCTTAAAGCAAGAACGATCAAGATTAACAATTCAACTTCCTCTTCTAGCTCACACACAAGGAAGGACCCGGTTCTGTAATATCTAGTAAATTCTAGTATATGTGATACATTTTGGTCTGTCTTGTATCTGTTCTTATTTTCTAGATTATTAATCATCGTTCTACTGTAATAGTCAAGGTCCTGTTGCCTTCTTTCAGAACAGAAGAAATGTAACACTGAAATATGACCCTATGGCTCCTGTTCTTCCAATCCTTTATAATAGAGAAAGGCAGAGAATTTGCCATAGCCTCTGCTGAGTTATAGGGTTTATCTCATAAGTGGGAAAGCGCCATACCTCATAAGTGTCAGCAAAAAGGAAGAAATATGAGAAGACTATTGGACATAAGAACGACCTATAACTCATATCTGACAGTGATGTATTATACGTATTAATTGCCTGAAGAGCCAGATTTTCTTTTTACAGTATTGTAAAACAATCAAGTAGAACACAATAAATTGAGCTAAACAAAATTAATTGCCTTGATTAATGAAGCAGCAAGAATTTGATTTTGACAATGCTAGTTACTGAATCAGCAGCCAGTCATATGTCTGGTAATGGGGGCCCACTGAAACTAGCCACAGTCCCACAAACATTTGTGCTTATGTTTACTCACATAAGCAGCTCCACTGAAGCCTATGGGGCTACCTATGTGCTTAAAGCCAACCAGGTAAGCATGCATGAACAGGATCAGAGACTGTTCCATGGCTCTGTTTTCGGTCACACAACAGGGTGACGTTTCTGGCCCCAAATCAACAAAGCACATATGGACATGCTTAAACTCATCCCTATTCAGTAAAGGTATTCAGCATATAATTCCAGTGACATCCAAGTTACAACAAGATTTAAGCACACGATTAAATGTGTTCCTGCTTTGGGATATTTTCATGTATCGAGTCTTCAGTACTTAGAATTGTCATAATTATTGCTTTATAGAAGACAATGCAATTAGTTTGCAATATCAGGGCCTATATAATCAAACAGATTTGATAAAATGTAACCAGAAATACACATACCTTTTCAGCATACTCCGAGACTATCTGCTTGATCTCATCAGACTGGAGTCCAACAATCTGACCTACTGTGCTAGCTGTTAACCTGCCCTGCAATTAAACCAAGAAGTATTTATTGAAACTTTGGGATAAACTATATTAATAAACTGTGGGCTGGTTTGTAAAGCACCTTCCCCAGAACTATACAAGTACAATACTACTTTAATGTAATCAAATCTGCTTATAAAAGAACAAAGCATGTAAGCTCATCAGCCCCAGGACTCAGTAAACAAATGAAGACTCTTACAAACCCTGCACTAAAAAAGTAACTACTAAGATTACCTTCACAGTGCCAATAATTCAACTAAATTTAAAGTCATTTTTGAAGATGTGTGCAACTGTCAAAGTCTTTAACACGAGCAATACATATTTTTGCATTGTGCATGTGATAGCATTCTGTAACAAGAATCAATTTGGACCATCAGTTTTTGAGTGAAATTATTGCCACGTAGGCTTGTGAGAGAGTGTTCATCTGAAATCACATGTGCAAGGAAGCCAAATCTCTCTCCTAAGATTAAGAATTCTAGGAGGCATCTGATCACAAGGCAAGTTTATCATGTCTATCATTTGACAAATGAATTTCTGTCTTCCTGGTACCAGAAAATGGGAAAGATATCAGGATTTTAATAGTACACAGAACATTTACTATGTGTATTAATGTGTCAGGAAACACTATGGAATTGCAGGGAAAGAATAATAATGTAAACAAGCAACATTTAGATGTTATATCAAAGTAACAATTCATAAGACGGTTACCAAATCCTAGGTGATGTGATGAATGCTATAAAATGCACTCAATATTTTTCCAGTAAGAGGAAAATCCCATAAGAGCCCTACCTTAACTCTGCAAAGTCAAAGTGTGATAAAGTCTAGGTTACACAAAAGTTTCATATGTTTAAATGCCATTTCACCAATAGTTCAACTGTAGTATGTTATTGTTAACACTTATTTCTGTAGCAACCACTTAATGAGCACCACTAACAATTATGTAAAGGCCATAATCATCATTTTAGGGTGAAAAATTTCAAGTCAGAAGTCTTATGAAAAGTGCTGTCACATGCTCAATCATCTTTCCCTGTACCCATTTTTAATGTATAATTTCAGTTCTTCATGCAGACTTAACCATATTTCAGGAACAGTGACAGCTTTCAAAGCATACGGCAGATGTAGAGAGGGAATTCAGGAGCACAAGCAATTTAAGTGTTGTTAAGTGTGTTGAACTGGTTTATTATACAGCAAAACAGACTCCTGGGATTGGAGCACTCTATTTTAATTTCTGTAACTAAACTGCAGTCCTTTTATCTGACTGGCAAAGTCCCAATGCACTTTGGGCCCAATCCAAATCCCAACCAAGTCAATAGGATTCTCTCTGCTGATAAATCTGAATTCTGATGGTTAAGATATATCAATGCACATAAATGTGAAGGCAAAATTATCATTTCAAGTATAACTTACCTCTTCTGTTGCCATTGCAGCCATTCCAGTCATCAATGTTTTAATGCGAAGCTAATGAAAAATATATTATAGCAAGGTAAGAGATAACATACGTGAACAAAACAATTAACATCAGGGGCCTTTAAATACTTAGCATAATTTTGTTCGAGAGAGTTCCCCCCCACCAACCAATCACTCCAATTTGCATTCTATATTAATACAGAAGAGTAAACTTTTATGAAAGTTAGTGAGGCAATTACTACAATTATTCCACCCAGAAAATTCTCTCATTATAGCAAGGCCTCAGTTCATGTGGTGCTCAGTACACACACTTTTCATTGTGAATTGGAGATGAAGCAACTAAGCTACTCTTTTCCTGAAAAGGCTTTAACTGAATCAGGTTGTGACATCATATCCCATATTCTTTATGGAAATGTGCTTATGAACATGCAAATCTGGAAGAGGTTTTATGCAAATACATCTTGTAACATATCGTTAGAGAAGTTGTCATCGGCTGAATGCGTACGTTCTATTTGTGTGCATGTATCATTCCTGTATTTGAAGTTAGATATATGAAGTATAAAACAGGGATGTAAATGGTTAATGTGTGAGGCTTATCGGTTCTGGTTAACTGGCAGGAACTGAAGCAGCTTCCTGCCTGCACTGGGTAGGGGGCTGCTTCAGCCCTGCAGGGCCCAACAGAGCAGCCTCTGTCAATGGTGGGTCCAGCCCAGCTCCCCTGCTGCAGATTACACGCTGATGCAGCAGAAGCAGGCTGCAGAGTCCCCAGCAAAGCCTCCTCACCAGGAGCAGGCTGCTATCCCTCCCCCCCACCCACCATTCCTAGGTAAGAGGCTTGCTGTGGACTCTGAAGTAGAAAGCTTATTTAAGTTTTATGCTTATTTAAGCTTTATACTGCAGGGCCCGCAGCACATGTAACTGCCGTGATGTTTAGCATTTATATGGTTACATTTTTAACAAATTTTTACATCCTTAGTATAAATCGGTTTACTAATCTAGACATGCTAAGTGAGAGCTACTAGTAGTACTTAAGGAACTTAATAGCCTGGTACTCTAGAACATGATCTAGGAATAGTCTTGTTTCTCCTGTAACCCTAGACTAGAATTGGTCCTGCCAAGACATGTGGCCAGGTCTCCTGATGCTGGAGCCCATTTTGGATGCTGTATTTTTCCACTGAAAGAGTGAAAAATTTAAACTGAATGCAAAAGCAGTCTTGCCTTTAGCAAAAGGGATATAAAGGTGTGAAACCAAACAGTAGGGGCTGCCAAACACCAGAATACCCTTTGCTTACTACCCATGATGCCTGCTGGGAACATCTAAGGCTGAACAGGGGAAGAATTAGCCCAGCTTTTGAGAAAAAATTATTAGAACTACTGTTAGGACAAAAAAAATGCATGTAATAAATTTGAATATTAGGCTTAGCTGGTGTTTTATTTTACTTAGTAACTTTGATCTGTCTGCTATTACTTGCAGCCATTTATTCTTACTTTTTATACTTAATAAAATCACTTTTGTTTATCAATAAACCCAGTGTAAATAACTGTTACTGGATAGGGCACCGGGAGGTGGGGGATGGGTTAGAACCTCTCCCCTGTGTAAGGGGGGGCTGGGGGGCACAGGGAGCACTGGGGTGTGTGAGGGGAGGTGGGGGATGGGTTATAACCTCTCCCCTGTCTAATAGATGTACATATCTCATTGATAAAGGGTGCGAACAATTTATGGACTTGCTTTCTATAAACTTTATACAGAGTAAGATGAATGTATCTGGGATTCTGTTCATATTGGAGCTATGCATCTAGCTGCTGTGTCATGTCCCTTTGAATGAGCCAACACATCAAGTGACAGTCTCAAGGGGATCTCTGTGACCTAATCCATCACAAGATGTACATATCTCATTGATAAAGGGTGCGAACAATTTATGGACTTGCTTTCTATAAACTTTATACAGAGTAAGATGAATGTATCTGGGATTCTGTTCATATTGGAGCTATGCATCTAGCTGCTGTGTCATGTCCCTTTGAATGAGCCAACACATCAAGTGACAGTCTCAAGGGGATCTCTGTGACCTAATCCATCACACGGGTGCTAAGTACGGATGGATCCTGTGATAGCAAAACAAATTGTTGCCTAGATTTTTACATGGAAACTCCTATGCGAATATTTACTTTTTGTGCAGCTGTTTATTATTCTGTATTTCTCTATCTGAACAGAACATGCTGTGCTTTTTACATTATCCCTAAGCAATTAATATCTAAGCTGTGTGTGTTCATGCACGTGTGAAGCACACCTCTTCAGCAGCTTGAAGGTCATCTTCATCATAGGCATCAGCTTTTCCTGCTGCTGCAAGTCCTGTAGGTAGTACCATTTTCTTGTCTTCAGCCTATTTTAGGAAAATAGATACATCACATAGTTACACATTCAAACAATACAATACAGCAGTCAAGGGATACGAAAGTAAAACAAGGAGGAAAATGTAACTCAGGTGTTATATCTAATTAATTGAAGTATATTGCTTTATAGTAGAGTTTAAGTTCAGGCACTGCCCAAGCAAGCAAGTTTAATGGGAGTCCAAACTATTCAGTGCATGGCAAAGCAAGTCATATGGAGAAAGCAGCATTTTTACAAGTCTATTTCAATATAAAGTTTATATCATATTTAGATTTAAACCTATAAGAGAGACTGTCCACTTTCAGAAGAATGTTAAGGTAAGTCATATTGTATTCCTTGACATTACTCTGCCCAAACATTTAACTCCCCTCTCTTCTACTGGCTTAATTCAGATAACAAATGGTAATAGTCTGATACATTGGCTAACAAAGTCAACAGGACTTTGTGAAGGGACATGCTGCTGGTTCTTCATATACCCTATTAGGAAAATGAATGGGAAGAAAGTGTTGAGATTTGAACTGAAAGGGAATCTTCTCACTGCTTTTCTTTTTTAGAAGTTATTGAACAAGAGAAGGGAAGGGAAAAGATTAATTGAACCAGGCTGGAATACCATTCCTAGAAAGACTGGACCTTGGAAGTACAGATGTGTGTGTAGACAGGGAATATTTTTAGTTAGACGTGATCAGGTTCTTTTCTTTGTTTTGTTGTTTGGTTAAATTAATCTGTGCTGAGTTCATGTGCTTCTCCCTCCGTACAATGTAACTAAAGCTGAATCCCAAGGAATCAATTCTTTGTGCTTTAATCTGTTTTTAACTCAGCTGCTTTATAACCTAGCAACCAAGTATGCTTTACCAAGTATATCTTTTTGTTTTGTCACCTTTTTTAAGACTATGATCTGATTCATGTGTCCTGGAAGATAAGAAGTGTATGTATGCCTAAGACCAAGAGGTCAGTTATCAGAGATTACAGTTTGTTTTCTTCTTTTTCCAAAGCTCTTCTTCCTGGATTCAAAAATAAAGGGTTTTCCCTCTCCAACTTGGGTGGTTTCTTGCGGGTCCCCACCTTCTGCACTAGAAGTGCCAGAGTGGTAACAGCCTTGACAAACAAATATTTTTGGATAGTTTCTATATTTTGTGTGTGTGCGCGTGCGTGTGTGTGTGTGCGCAAACACACAGAACAAACTGTACCACACTTTTTTTTTTAAACAAATATCTGCACTGTAAAAAACAGAAAAGTATTTTTCAGTTCACCTCAGACAGGTACTATAGTGCAATCTCTATAATGAACATGGAATTCACAAATGTAAAATTATGTACAAAAATAACTGAATAATAAAATAAAAATAAAACAATGTAAGACTTTATAGCCAACAAGTCCTCTTGGTCCTACTGCTTGTACAGCCAATCACAAGGACAAACAAGTTTGTTTACATTTTCAGGAGACCCTTCTTGCTTACAATGTCATCTATAAATGAGAATAAGGGCTTGGATAGAACTGTTGTAATTGGGCTTATAAAATGTGTTAATGATTCACGTGTCTTTTCATGCTTCAACCACCATTCCAGAAGACATGCATCCATGCTGCTGACAGGTTCGGTTGATAATTCAAAGCAATGCAGATTGATATATATTCATTTTTATCAACTGAGTTAGAGTCCACCACAGAAGGGGGATTTCTTTTTCAGTGGTTTGAGTCCTGTAGTTTCCACATTGGAATGTTGCTCTTTCAAGACTTCTGAAAGCATGTTCCACACCCCATCCCTCTCAGATTCTTAAACCTTGCTTGAGTGCTGTAACTGTCTTTAGAAATCTCACATTTGTGCCTTCTTTGCATTTTGTCAAATCTATAGTGAAAGTGTTCTTAAAACAAACAACATACAAGTTCTGTGTCATCAACCAAGACTGCTATTAAACATGAAATATTGGCAGAATGTAGGTAAAACAGCTGAGGAGACAATTCTCCCCAAGGAGTTCAGTCATAAATTTAAATAACATTTTTTTCTAATGAGCATCATCGGCACAGAAGCATGTCCTATGGAATGGTGGCCAAAGCATGTCTGTCACATAAATACTTTGCAATGATGGCTGCTTAAGTGCCATGTGAATGCATGTTCTCACTTTCAGGTGACATTGTAAGTAAGCAGGCAGTATTATCTCCCATAAATGTAAACTAACTTGTTTGTCTTAGGGAATGGCTGACCAAGAAGGACGACTAAGTCGACTTGCAAGCTTTAAAGTTTTAGAGTGCAGCTACATAACAAAACAAAAACCAAACAAACTATACATGTAAATTGCACTTTCATGATAAAGAGATCGCACTACAGTACTTGTAGGAGGTGAACTGAAAAGTACTCATTTTTACAGTGCAAATATTTGTAAGTCAAAGTTAATAATATAAAGAGAGCACTGTATACTTTGCATTCTGTGTTGTAACTGGAGCTGAGGTATTTGAAAATGGAGTAAAACATCCACAATATTTAATACATTTCAATTAGTATTCTACTGTTTAACAGTGCAATTAAAACTAAGTGCAATTGAGAGCCCTAAAATTGATATGAAGAGTACTAACTAGTAAGATAACTATTTCCCAACAAACAAAACCTAAGCATGGTCAAATCAGCAATCCTACAATGTTTTGTTCATGGCACAGTATAATACATTTGTATCATAGTGTATTACCCTTTGCATGGGCATTGCTTGAAAACATTTTCATCTAATCAACTTTTAGCAGCCCATTATTAGATTTCTGTCAAAGAGATTGTCACATGACCTTTTAAGGGATGTTTTCAAGTTAGGAAGATAAAAAAAAGACAGAAATCAATTGTATCTTTCATGGGCTACAGAGCTTTAGTTTCATTTGGCAATTTTAAAAAAAGTAACACCACACACAAGCCTTCCTTTAAGATCTTCCAGAGTTGAGGTTTCTTTAGAAGAAAAAAAATTCCTTCTCTCAATCACAGTGTTACTTAATTTATCAGTGATCCATGTTACCTCTTACCTTCTCCATTTTGCCAGCTTGCCTGCTAAATCCATACCTCCTAAACACACAAGAAAAAAAATTAGACACATTTGTTGCTGAAACAACCAACACTCTCAATTTCATAAATACACTTGTATTAATTTTATACATACAAGAGATGCCCTAAGAGATGAATTCTGTAACACACAACAACAACAAAAAGACAGCTTTGGGATAGTTACTGAATGCTCCAATAAGAGATCTTTACAGCATGTTTACAATTCACTTTATTTTCCCACCAATCTTTCTTTTTTATTGTAATTATACAGAGTAGCACTCAACATGCTATAATGCTGTAATGTGGAGAACAATATACTCTTACCTAGGGAAAAGGGCTGGTGGAGTACAGTAAACCTTAGCAATTAATTATAAATGCCTGATTCGGGAAAGCACTTAAGCATGTTCCACTAAAGTCAATTGGACTCATGCACATGGCCTAAGCATTTCCCTGAATTGCATTTTTTTAGGGTTGTCAAGTGATTACAAAATTTAATCTTGATTAATCATGCAATTAATCACATGTGCTGTCCCTTTGAAACACTCCAGTGGTTTTTCAAAGGGGCAGCGCTGCAGAAGCCCAGAATCAGCTGTAGTCCTAAGCTAACCCCTGGCTCCTGGAACTGCTGCCTTTGGAAAGGTCGCCCTGGTATTTCCATGGGGCAGCACTACAGGAGCCCGGGATCAGCTGGAGTTCCCAGGATCAGTGGTGTTTCCAGGGGCAGCGCAAGGCGGAGCCCAGGGGCAGCTGGAATCCCCAGCTGACCCCAGGCTCCATGCAGCACTGCCCCTTTGAAGAACCTTGAGATCCTGGATGAAAAGGACATATGGCATCTGCTAACCAGTAGATTTGTGAATACAGATGAACCTTGAGATCCTGGATGAAAAGCACACATGGCAACTAAGTGCACACTGATATAAGAGATTGACAGCCCCTGTTTAAAATGGCAAAGATAGTTCAAAAACGGGGGCATGCATTGGGAAGAAATCATGTTGACTGGACCAGACTAAAAATATCTTCCATTTTGCAGTGTAAGAAACTCTAGCGGAGGGTTTCATGCTGCCCAGGAGAACTTGTCTAACCTGTTTTGAACAGCATAGCTCCCAGGATAGCTCCAGGGATTTAACCATGGAGTTTACATGCTGTGAGGTGGAGGGACTCCAGGTTCGGGTGGAGTAGACTGCCATGGCCCTGCGAGAGAAGCCCTGGGAATATTGGAAGAGGATCAGAACCTCCACTGATATATACAATTCAGCAGCGTGCCAATGCTGATGAGCATAAGCTGGGGCTTTGAGGATGACTTGTGCTTGGTCCTGCCTTATTTTTTGCTGTCCTCTGTGTATCAGTGGGATAGCATACTGGAGCAGCTATCTCCAATGGAGAAGGAATGAGTCCCCGCAAAAGCCCGGGCAGATTCTGGAATGAACAGAACTGGTGACACTTTTTGTTATATGTTTCAAAGAGGTCTATATGGCGAAGCCCCCATCTCTAGAAGATTAAATAAGTCTCTTCTGGATGAAGGGACCACTCCATTCGTGAAATCTGAAGGAGCAGCTGAGATTGTCTGCCAATTCATTCTGAGCACCTGGTAGATATGCATTCTGCAGATATACTGAGTGCTCTATACAGAAGTCCCACAGCCTGAGGGCTTTGTAACACAGGGGGAAAAAAGCATGCACATCCCTGTTTGTTGATATAAAACACTGTTGTCATGTTGTCTGTTAACACCAGTGCACAGCTATTTGACAGTAGGGATGTTAAATAGTCGAGTAAAATCATGACATTTTATAGATTTTTCGACTATTCTATAGTCCCTGGGGGCAGGGCCAACAGCCACCATATCTGAGGGAGCAGCGTGGGGTGCCAGATGGGAGCTGATCTGCCAGAGGAGCCAGCTCCCCTTGCGGACTGGCTGCCTGTTGCCCTGTGCTGCTGCTTCTGAAAAAGAGGCAGCAGCGTGGGGTGGCCTCAGTCTCTGTCTAGATGGAGTCTGAGCTCCTGAACCCGGCGTGAGCCACAACTGAGCTGGGCTGCCTGCCTGCCCAGCTCTTAATACTGAGTTCCCTGATATTTATGTGAAGAACGAGATCGGTGGGAAACCAAAGGTGTTGAGTCCTGATCTGTCCCAGATGGACCCCCCACTTCAAAACTGACACATCCATTACTAAGGTCTGAGACGGCTGCAGCCACCACAGGAGGGAAACCAACACCTTTGGGTGTAGTGTTACTAGATTGTCCTGCTTGTCGCAGGACAGTCAATAGGTTGACACTAGCCATAGCTGAAGTAGTCTGAATCTTTGCCTCAAGTATTTCACCACGTACGTGCATGAGACCATATGACCCAAAAGTTTGAGGCAGATCCTGGCTGTGGTTGTGGGGGAAAACTCTGAGAGCCTGAATGATGGAGGCCATGGCCTGAAACCATTCTATGGGGAGGTAGGCTCTTGCATAGGTCAAATCAAGAACTGCTCCAATAAACACTATTCTCTGAACTGGGAGGAGAGTGAATTTGGATTCATTGAGAAAAGAGGCCTACATTATTGCAAGAGGTTCTGATCAATGTCACATGGGTTTCTGAGATCAGGACTGACCTCCGATGAGCCAGTCATTCAGGTGCGGAAAGACCTGCAGTCCGTGTCCAAGGAGGAAGGCAGCAACTACTGCCATGTACTTCATAAATACCAGAGGAGAGGCTAAAGAGGAGCACTTTAAATTGGTAAAGCTTGTTGTCTACTACAGATCTCAGGTATTTCTTCCAAGACTGATAAATCAAGATGTGGAAATACGCATCCCTCAACCCGAGGGCAGTGTTCCAGCCATTTGGATCCGGGAAAGAAATTATGGATGCCAGGGAGACTCTACAGAATTTGAGCTTTTTTACAAGTTTGTTGAGTTCCTGCAGGCCCAAAATGGGTCAAAGCACGCCTTTGGCTTTTTAAATTAGAAAGTACTGGGAATAAAATCCCTGTCCCCAGCTTTCTGGAGGAACCTCCTCTAATACTCCCAGATACAGAAGCAGGAAGAGGGATGGAGAATGGGAGGTGGGAGGAGGAAAACTGGATGCAGTAACCCCTTCTCTGCCATGCACATTACCCATCAGTCCAAAGTAATTTGGGACCAAGCATGGAAGAAAGGAGGTCTCAAAGGGAATAGTCCCATATAGTGAGCTAGACCACATAATAAAGACCTAAGACTTGTAGCCAGACCCCCCTTCTCATGGCACTGCCAATGGCCATGACCCTTGTAGCTGAATCTGCTGTGCCTAAAGCAGCCTGCAAGGATGGCCTAGAGACTAGCTTCCCTTTCTCTATAGATGCTGAAAATATGGCCTGGGAGACTTGGGGGAGTAGCTCCATATATTTTGATAGGGTGCTGCAGGTATTGAAACCATATCTGCTAACCAGCACCTGCTAGTTAGTAATATAGAGTTGAAGACTCTTCTTAGATTTGACCTTCCTGCCACATAGGTTCAAGCGTTTTGTCTTACTGTTCTTCGAGAAAGGGCCCTGGAGACAGCCATTGGGAACACCAGTATCTCCACCTCCTAGGAATCCAGGAGAGGGTGATTATAAATATGTTCATATCCTCTCAATGGAATGAAACAGCACTTCTCATTACATTTGGCAGTAGAAGGCAAGGAGGCTGATGTTGGCCATAATATCTTAGAAGTGTCCAAAAAGGATCTAATAAGAGGCAAAGCAGTGTGGACGAAGGTAGAGGAAGATAGGTCTTCTATTACAAATTAAACTTCCTATACCACTTCCCCTGCTTGTACGTTGAAACCCCAGGCCATCTTTCTAAGACAGTGTTTCTTAAAACTTTTAAGACCAAGGAACACCAAACAATTTTTTTTTATGAGGAACACCGAGGATTTTTTGTTGAGGAAAAAAAAAAAGGGGGTTGGGGGAAATTGAGAAAGAAAAGATCGGGGAAAAGTTATTGAGCAGCAGGAAAAAAAGGCTGCCTGCCCTTTAAGGGTGGTGATTTTGAATTCTGTTCTCCGCGGCACACTTCCAACTGCCTCGGATCACACTTTAAGAAACACCATTCTAAGAAGTTGTTGAAGGGCTTTACAGTCCTAAAAACTGTATAGGGCCCATCAGAATAGTGGCAATAGTGCTGTGGCTGGTGACTCACGTTAGTGCCAAAGAAGCAGGTACTGATGCCATCACTGGTATCAGTGCCGTTGAAAGTATCTGCAGTGCCAGGCCTGGTATGGCATCAAGGTTGAGGCAGTTATGTGCACTGAAGGGGTTGGAGGTTCTACCTTATGCACTGTCACTGAGATTGATCGTGCCTGTGGCGAGACAAAGATGACCGAAGCTCTTGAGTACCAGCCTGGGGTCTGACTTGGGCTTTGGTGGAAAGTCTAGGGAGTCCAAAAGGGCCGTTGGATAGGAGTTGTGTCACTGTGCAGGTAACGGTGCTGGGTATCAGTGTCTATCCCGGCTGGACGTTGAACTCTGACAGGATCTGCACGAGTTGAACTTTGACTCCAAGGAGTCTGTACAGGATGACCAAGGAGCTGTCGAATTTCTAAGCATGAAAATTCAATTCTCAGGTCTTGTTGCAGTGTCAGTCATCAGTGTGACAGGAAGGCACCCTTGACGAAGCTGGTGCAGGAGAGGAGAAGGGAAACAAGCTATGCATCAAGTCCTGGGCTGCTTGGAAGGTCTCAGGCATGTATGGCACGACAATGTGTGTTGATGGTTCCAGAAATCTGGCTGGGGTCAAGGTGTCCAAGCCCTGAGCTCTTGCCCCCAGTTCAGGTGCTGGTGCAGACACCTGGTGGCCTAACTGGGGTCTCACTCCTGGCTTGGATTTGGGCTTTAACATGGGAGATCTCTTTCTGTCTGGCCTCTTTTTCTTCTGTGGTGCTGGTAACTGTGAATGTTGCCACCGATGGAAGTTTCGAGATGAGTCCACCAGATGCCACAATTCTTTAGATGGTGCCTTAGGTTGCGTTGACTGCACAGAGGCACTACACACTGAAGAAGACTTTCTCTGTGCAAAGTCTGCCA